AATAACATAATGATCGATAAATAATTCAAACCATATTTGTTCATCAGCTAACAACAATTTTCTAATATACATTATAGCCATCTCTATACATGTTACAGTATGTAACATCATTTTTGAAAAAATAAAATTTCAAATACTTAAGTTGCGTTTAGTTGTGGAAAAATGAGTCGTTTTCCGGAAAAACTTTCCAAGAAAAATGAGAATTTTGAAAACGCGTTTAGTTCGTCTATTTTTCTAAATTTTTCACGGAAAATGAAAATTTTCCGTTTTCTAAAATTACAAATAACTTGGAAATTTTTGGAAAATTGATAATCATTGTTTTCCATATTTTTCGAAATCCAATTTTTTTCTAAATTATAAACACATACCCACTCCCACCCCATCCACCTCTACCTACCCCCCCCCCCCCCACCTTAACACCCTCCCCCCAACCCACACCCACAAACACACACACATACCCACCCACACCCCCACAAACACATGCACACACACATATACCCACCCCCACCCCCACAAACACACACACACAAACCCACAACTATCCCCACCCCCACAAACACAAACACACGTACATACATACACACACACACACCCTACCCCATCCCCACCCCTACACACACACACACACCTACAAACACACACCCACCTCCACCCCCCATAAACACACACACACACACACAAACCTACCCCTACCCCTACCCCCACAAACACACACACACACACATCCTACCCCATCCCCACCCCTACAAACACACACACACACACTCACCCATCCCCCACCCCCACAAACACACACACACACACCCACAAACACACCCAACCACCCAATACCACTACCACAATCACCGACCTACCACCACCACCACTACCCCATCACCACCACCACCACTACTGCCACAAATTGTCGCCGCCACCACCACCACCTATCATCACCACCACCACCACCGACTTGCTACCGTCGCCGCCCCCACCAACACCCTACCACCGCTACCGTTTTCTAAAAATGAAAACCGATAGAAAATTTTACATCTAAACACGTTTTCTAATTTTCTAAAACTGAAAATGAAAAATGAATAAGTTTTAACTAAACACGTTTTCTAAATTTTCCAATGAAAAATAAAGACGGAAAACGAAAACTGAAAAGGGAAAACAAAAAACGAAAAATAAAAATTGTTTTTCCGCAACTAAACGCACCCTTAACATATCATTCAAGCATTTCATCAAATAGCTTTCTGCATCCATCATCACATATGTTTATAGAATGTGAGCCATCCTTTTGCCAATGCAAATCAGTTCAAGATAATATTTAGCCTAATGCTTCATGCCTAATTAATTCCATAGAACTACAACATATATTAATTACATGCATTAAGACATCATATACTTATACCATTCCAACAACAAAACAATTAATTTAAGTTAAAATGTGATTTCCAACAACTATATATATATATATATATATATATATATATATATATATATATATATATATATATATATTTAATTTCAGTTAAAAATATGATTTCCAGCAATAATAACAAATAATTTCAGTTAAAAATGTGAATTCCAACAACAATAACAACTAAATCCAACAGATTGAACAACATTTTCCATATTTCAGCAAAGTATATACATTTTCAGCAAATACATCTGATTTCTAGAACTTATGAACATATAATTTCAACAATTAAATTCGATTTTCAGCAAATGTAATATGATTTTCATGTTTCAGCAAACTAATCTGATTTCACCAACAATAACATCTGATTTCCAGCAAATATAATAAACCCAAGAAAATAACATCTGAATTTAGCGAAAATGTTCTTACCAGTCGCAGCAGAGGTCGGAGATAGTGGTGAAGACGTGGTGAGTGACCACGACGACGATAGCGGGCAAGACAGGCGGAGACGGAGAAGGCGACGACGGGTGTGACAAGCAACGACGACGGACTGCAAAGGAGAAATCAGGCGGTGTTGCTCATCAAAGGAGAAGTTAGGGGCAAATTCGGTGGTACAATGGAGTGCCTCTGGTGGTGCGGTCGGACAGGAGGAAGACGACCATGGGACGAGGAGGAGACGAGAGGTTGACGAAGATCGGTGGAGGGAAGAGTCAACGGATTTTGGAGACGCCGGGAGAAAAGCAAAAGAGAAAGCGTGTTTTTGTTTTGGTTTAGGTATAAAGGACTTGTGAAGACCTCAGAAGACAATGGTCCATGTCTGTGTCATACATACCTCGCGTAGATGTTTTTAGGTCTAAGCACTTCCAAAAAAACAAACAGTCTACGAGACCATATGTCTGAGCGACAGACAGAAGTGGTCATGCAGATCTGCAGACAAAAACCGAACAACACCTAAGTTGTTATCTTTAAGCATGCATTGTGTGTGTCTGTGTGTATATATATATATATATATATATATATATATATATATATATATATATATATATATATATATGTTTGAATTTAAAAAAACATTTAGTAACATAAATATACCATAAAAATTATGTGGTTGGTCCATAAGTTTTTATAAATTTTGACACTTTGGGACAACTATGAAAAGTATTACTCCGTTTGATTTGTTCTTCAAAAATTGTCCATCTGGTCCTTTCCTTCTGAAGATTAGAATTTTGACAATGACTCGTTCCCTTCAAGTTCTATGATTCGTGGTTAGATTATGGAGGGATTACACTACAAGAAGACTGGGCAATAGCGGCGACGGGTGTCGTCGCTAAAGGTTAGGGTTGTCGCCGCTAATTTGCATATTCTAATTTCATACAATTAAGCCAAATGTATACAAATTTATACATCTAAATACAAAATCAAACAAATGTATATATACATTCAATTTCAATATCCAATTTCAATTTCATGCCAAATTTCATTTTTAAGCCAATGTGGTATAAACATAAATTACAAAAACATACACAAAATGCATAAAAACTTCCCACAAATCTGAAAAAGCATACAATCCAACAAAATGCACAAACACTTCTTATCTCAAAATACAAACATAAACACTCAACAAAATTGAAAATTACTAACAATTTATCATCCAAATTAGCACCAAAACAGAAAAATAATAGAAAATATGAGGAATTCAACCTTGAATGTGGGCAATTTCGGAATTGAGCTCAAGGGTCGCCGGTTTTGGAGGTTTTGGGGGAAGGTGTGGCGGTCTTGTGGCGGCAAGAGGGGCTAGCATCGGCTTTTACCTTCGTCCTCCACCTAGTCGACTCGTCCAAGTGATGCAAATGAGAAGCAGCAACAAAATCGAGAGAAGGAAACGAGAGAACAGAAAAAAATGTCACAGAAAAGGGAACCGTAAGGGGTTATCTGTAAGGGGCATTAGCGGCGACAACAATAACGGCGATGCAAAGGTATTAGCAGCGACAATAGGGCAATAGCGGTGACACCTTGGAGGGAAAAATTAGCGCGTTTTCGCTTTCCTCTACAACCATTGGATTGAAAACAAATCGGACGGATGGGGGTAATTTGACGCGGATCGCTGTTAGTGAGCATTAGCGGCGACCTCTTTAGCGACGACGCTGGGCAATAGCGGCGACATGTAACGCGTCAATTACATGTCGCCGCTATTGCCCAGCGTCGCCGCTAAAGACGTCGCCGGTAATGCCAACATTTCTTGTAGTGTTGATGCTGTGATTCAAAGTACTTGGGCGAGTATGAAAGATGAGTCAAATACAAACAAGCTTATATCTTTTAAAAAACAAGTTAAAGAGTTAAAAGTCAAGAAAACAATGAAATGCTGATTTTAACAAGAAAAAAGTTTACGATTGAAGTTGTTTGTCAAAAATTGGAATTCGCTTAAATCTCGTTCTGATGTTTGGTTACAAAAAAAATATTAAAATCCATAAAAATCTTGTTGGCTACTTGCATAATGCAGCTATGGTTATGAGACGACGACATTTCAAGGTGCTCTTCCAAAAAAGGATAGAGATAGGATGGTCAAGGAATTCAAAACTACGTATACTCAAGTTTAAATATCAACCACTCTTCTTGCTCACGGGTTTGAGTTAATATAGAAAGAACATTTTAATTAAAAAAGTCATGGAAAGAAGCTTTATCAAACTACTATTGAGCAAAAATAAAAGTTGGATTACATCGAAAGATCAAAATTGCAGAGTACAATGCTGTGATAATTAGTCAAATTAAAGTAAAGTATGTTGTCATTTTTTGTATTAGTTTCTTAAATTTATACTAACATTCTTAGGTTCTCCTAACTATTTATGATCTATGTTATTCCAATTTATCAACAATATATTACACAAATTTATAACCTAGTTTAGTATAATAACATCAATATTTGTTAGTTACATTTAAGATTTTGACCATGCTTTAAACCAAAAAAGAAATATCACCTTGTCGAATCTTCTTGATCGAGAAATACATTTTGAGTCATGGATTAACATTTCTCTAGAAGAATGTTTCGGAACTAGTTAGTAAATTCCCATTTCATATTTGACAACATATTATGAAACTGGTTAGTTGCCGCATGCATTTTTATAGTCTATCTCTCTATCTCAAAAACTATCTTTCTATCTCAAAAAGACAAAAACCTACGAAAAATATTTAGTTTAAAGTTGGTCCTCAACAAAAGAAATCTTAAAAAATTTAGAAAGATTTTTTTTTTTTTTTTTTTTTTTTTTTTGCTATTTCAATATTATAACAACAATTTTACAACTTATAAAAGCAAATTAAACATTTTTTTTTTTGGAAAACAGATTTGAATTATAATAAACATCGTCATTAACTACTTACGACATGATTATCAATTTGGTTTTTTGTTTAAAGTATAAATGTTAACATTGTGATTATGGTGATTATCCCAATAATCAATTTAGATCATAAGTTTGTCTTCATTCTTCCAAGGTAAACATAGATACTTACATGGATTATATTTGGAGATCTTATCTCACCAATCACCACCATAAAACTATCGTTCTTCCCTTAACTCCGTTACACACGCCGGTGAAGTAGCAACCACATGGAGAAGAAACATATTCTCCTACTAATCTTCTTCTCCCTCTTTTTACTCAAACCAATCGCCGATGCCAAGGACAACTGTTCGCCGGTATCCTGCGGCCCCAACGAACCAGAAATACGGTTCCCGTTTCGTATCCTCGGCCGGCAATCGAACCAATGCGGTTTCTCCGGCTTTGACATCTTCTGTGACGAACAAAACAAAACAATCATCCTACTCCCGTTATCCCTCACTTACATCGTCAACAAAATTTCCTACCTCGAACAGGTTTCTTTCCAAAATCATAGCCAAATAGTACTTTAAATGATTAAATCATGTGTTTAATCAACGATTCGCAGGTGATCTACATAGATCCAGAATTCTGCCTCCCAAACCGAATTGTCAGTGTCAATATGACCAATACGCCATTCCGAAGTCACTTATGGATGCAGAGCTACACCTTTTACAACTGCTCCTTACAGAACAACCACAGCTTCAACTTCTCCGACGCCAACGTTCCATTCCCTTGCCTGAGCAACGGAAATGACTCGATAATTGCTGTGGAGAGCAATCCTTGGATTTCTGGGCACATGCCTTCGAGTTGTAAGGTTATGACGACGATCGATGTGCCTGTTGGGTTTAACAGCGACTTTGGAGATCAATTGGAGATGATGTGGTTCACTCCGTTTTGCAGATCTTGTGAAAGTGAAGGTAAAGCTTGTCGATTGAAGAGTGATGATAATGATAATGGTGATGGACAGACGATATGTGTTTCCCGCGGAAAAGGTATACAGCTACAGTACATATTTTTATGCACGAGTTACTACCTGTTAAGCTACAGTTGATATAGGTCACTTGAAAGTCAAACTATGATGCTTTGAAACCAATTCACGCTTATTGAATTTTAATTTTTTGTATATAGGTATTTCTAGGATTGCTATGTACGGATTGAGCGTAGGCATATGTGGTTCCACATTAATATGCATAATGGTGTTTAAACGCTACGCGTCTTCTAGAGTACAAGCCCATGACGACTCTAATAATCAAGGCATTGGCCTTTCCACAATTGCAATCATCCGACAACCCGCCTCCAAAACGGGTTTAGATGGGTCCACGATCGAGTCTTATCCAAAAACCGTGTTTGGAGAGAGTTGTAGATTGCCTAACGATGATGCTACTTGTGCTATTTGTCTTTCCGATTACAAGTCTAAAGAGTCGTTGAGAACAATCCCGGAATGTAATCACTATTTCCATGTAGAATGCATAGACGAGTGGCTCAAGTTAAATGCGACATGTCCCGTATGCAGGAAAACGCAAGAAAGTTCCACGTTGGTTACTCGTTCCAAGGCATCATCATCGAGTTCTGTAGATTTATCGTAGAAAATGAATTGAAGGTCTTGGATATTGATACTACCCTTTACTTGTATGTTTGCATATGTAAACCATAAGTTATATAACAAAGCTATAATATCATATAAATAAAATGGTTAATGATTAATAAGGTAGAAAATTTATCAAATGTATAGATTTAGTTATTTAAGTTTTTTTAATCATATGACCATTAAACTTTTATTTTTGTACACATTTAAACAACTGAAAGTTTTATATTAAAAGGTTAGCAAGACATTAAAGAAAAGAAACAGGTACATAAAGATGTCATTTATTGGATTTTACATTCAATCAATCGATTTTATAGCAAGCTTATTTTTTCTATACACAAAACGATTCAAACATATAATCATATCATTTTTTTTCTTAATCTTTCCATACACGATATCATTATTTTTCTTAATCTTTTCATTACAGTATAAAGCCAAAGCATCCACCAAACAGAAAAAATAAATGATCGCCTCCATTGCCATCTTTTTGTACTTGAAAGTCCTTAGGCCTCCATCCTAATGAAAACATTATCAACATTTGTGAGAACTAGCATATCTATATTCACACATCTACCAACCACCCCCAAACATTATTAGTAACTTCACATTTGAAAAACAAGTGCTCTAGTTCTTCATTTTCCAACCTACAAATTGGGCTTACAATCGAAGGAATATCCACGCCTTTTCTCTAAAGATTATCTTCGGTCGGAGATCAAAAGTAAAAAAGGTTAACCTTTCGGGCGACAAATATGTTCCATTTAATTGCAGTAATTCAATCTTATAACATCAAATAATTAATGCAACCCTAACTCCTTTAACCGAAAATAAACCATAATTATCAAGCTCTCAAACATATTTGTCTTAATCTTCTGACATAATAATGTATTTTTGTACACACTTAGTTAATTGTATTCTTTTACACATACGGTCAAAGTCACTACTAGCATTTCAGATCAGAAGATGGAGAAAGGCAAAGCTCCAACACGTACATTTCAGATGACAACGAAGGAGGCCAGATGTGATGATGAGGTGATTCTTGGAACCTTTATGGTTAATGATTTTCTTTCTATGGTTTTATATGATGCTGGTGCCAGTAGATCGTTAGTATCCCTTACATTTTGTGCTCAGTTTGTGATACCTCGTAGTCCTTTGAGTCATATGTTAGACATTGAGGTAGTAGTAGGGAGTTCTATTTTGGTGAGGGAAAATTTGATGGGTGCTCGATCGTTATCTCTGGTCACACCTTTCCTTTTACTCTGATTCATATAGGAATCAAATCCTTTGATGTTATCCTTGGTATGGATTAGTTATCTTCCAATCGAGCTGAGATCCTTTGTTTCGAGAAGTGTGTTCGAATCAAGCTTGTCGAATGAGGGAGTATTATGGGTCGGAGGTAAAATAATTTGGGGACTATCCCGATTATTTTTGTGATGAAGGCACACAAGTGCCTAGCGAGAGGATGTGAGGTCTTCTTGGCTCATGCGATCGAGAGTCCAAGGAAGACAGTGGATCTTGCTGATGTGGATGTGGTCAGGAAGTTTAGCGATGTTTTCCCTGACGATATGTCTGGTTTACCACCACCATGAGAGGTAGAGTTCCAGATTGATCTCGTCCTTGGTGCGACTCTAATAGCCAAGGAATCATATCGGTTAGCTCCATCAGAGATGAAGGAGATGTGGAATCAGCTTCAGGAATTATTAGAGCGGGGGTTTATTAGACCGAATTACTCACCTTAGGGAGCGCCAATTCTCTTTTTGAAGAAGAAGGATGGTTCTATGCGGATGTGCATCGATTATATGGAACAGAACAAAGTGATTGTGAAGAATAAGTACCCACTCCCAAGGATTGATGATCTCTTTGATCACTTGAAGGGAGTTAGTCACTTCTTGAAGATAGATTTGTGATCGAGGTATCATCAGTTGTAGATCTATGAGCATGATGTTCCCAAGACCGCTTTCAGGACCCGATATAGGCATTATGAGTTCCTAGTAATGCCTTTTAGTTTGACGAATGCACCTACGGTTTTTATGGACCCAATGAATCGGGTATGTCGACCATTTCTGGACAGGTCTATTTATCGACGACATTTTGCTATACTCTCGAAGTGACGAGGATCATCGAAGGAATTTGTGAGAGGTTTATGTTGGATCAGGTGTCTAAGCCAATAACTAAATTAGTATAATCATCAATTATTAGAAAAGTCCTTTTGGGTTGCCCTCAAACCTAGTAACTGACTAGAATGTTGTTTGGAGAGAGAGACTGATTTACTAATTTATTATATGATTAATAAATTAATTAGAAATCAAAATAAATGATTTATTAATATATTATGAGAATAATATATTAATTGGAAATAGTACTATTTAATTAAGAATTAATCAGAAATTAATTGGAATTAATTTTGGGGTAAATTGAATTAATTAAAAGTGGAAGGACTAAATGTGACAATGTTTGAAAGTTAAACATGGCCAATTCTAGAACATCCCTAGGAGGAGGGACGAAATTCTAGTTGGTTATAGGGTTTCTAGATGGTTTCTAGAGCTTTTCTTGGACTCTAAGAAAACTTGGATGTCTTATGGGGAAAGCAAAAGGGATAAGGCTAGTCTAATGAAACTGTCTGATCCTTAGCCTCCTTATCACCTATATAAACCCTCCTAAGGGTTCATAATTTCGTGCATCCCTTCTGCAAGAGGTAGAAACAAAAATCTTTTATCCTTTCCTCTCTCCTCTTCAGCGTCCAATTTTTTAGGGTTTGGGTGTGAGCCATTATAGGCACGAGATTTCTGGTGCTTGCTTTCTAAAGCTAGATCAAGAAGGAATCATTGTTTATTTAATATAATAAACAAAAGGTATGTAATTTCTATAACCCTTTGATAATTTCGAAAATAGTAACATACTTCTATGGTTCTTGATATTCAATAGTTCTTTGCAAATCATAGTGAGAACATAGATCCTTTAGGGTTCATGTGAATTTAGGGTTTATGTTTTTTCGCCAAAAATAGATTTTTTGTATCATATAAAACCCATCAGTGGTATCAAAGTCATTTTTCTTATTGATCTTACACAAATTTGAATAGATCAAAATTAGGATTTATAGAAACTAAACCCTAATGGAGGCATTTTCGAAAATTGGTGAGGTTCTTGAAACCCTAGCCTACACCCTTAGGTTTTTCGATTTTCACAAGGTTTTTAGAAACCCTAGCCTCCTCCTTATTTTCGATTACTTAGAGGGAACTTAGGGTTTCCTTATTTGATAATTATTGTTTTAATTAGTTAAAATAGAATAATTAAAATTGGATAACCCCAATACTCTTGTTTTTGGAAAATTTAGTAGGGATTAGATTATGATTAAATTTAAATTATTTGATTAATAGTTAGTAGTAAATAATTATTTAATCCTCATGAGATTTAAATTAATTTAATTAATTTTTATTTAAAAGATAAAGATTAAATCTTAATTGGTTTAATTTTAAATTAAATTAATTTTTTATGTTAATTTCGAAAATTTAAATTTAAACCTAGTATTTCAGAGAAGTTTTAAAATACACCTTTTACTATATAATTAAAAGATTAATATAATATATGTATAACACAAGTCAGTCATATCGCTAGTATGCCTCATTCACAAAGCCAAACTCTAAATGAGGTATAAGGAAACTGCCTATAAAATTGTAGTTGAATGGGTGTCCACTCTTACCCATCGCTTCCTTGTTTGGTGGAGGGTCGTTAGCAGAACGGATCTGATAGGACACTAACTTCATTAAAAGTATAATTCTAATAAAGTAGTAGAACTATTTTTAAAAACCCACTCTTAGTTACTTTAGAGAGAATATGAAAAGTATGCTAATCCATGAAAACACACATCGTGATTTATATGTCATTAATGGAGCGTGTGTGGTTAACTGGCACACTAATAGGGACTATAAAGAGATATGATGGACATCTTGAAAATTATCATTGTTGATGGAGCATGTGTGGTTAACTGACACATCAATGAGAGATCATAAATGACATCATGGTTTTTAAGCGGATTTGCATGGTTATTCACATCTCGTTTGTGATCATCGGCATCGTAGTCACAAAAGTGAGAGCATAATCCGAGATTAAACATCTCTTTGATAAGAATCAATGAATCTCAAGAGATCTAAGAGTTTCTTAAGATTGAAATTGGTAAAAGCCTTACCTACCTAAACTAGATTCGAATTTGATTACGACATCCCTCTTCAAAGTTCAAATCGAAAATATGGATCCCAACCTTTATTTAATTTTATGGGTTAATAATTAAGGATTAAAATCATCTAACTTGAATTCTCTTTTTTTTCTATTTTAAAATATCTTATGAAGATAGAAATGGCCTTCCTCATTCTTAAGGAAATAGTTTTCCTCAATTTTCTAGAGATGGTCCACCAATTTCAAGTCAAGGTGAAATTGTTTTCCCTTCTTTAGGAAATGATGGAACTAGACATCATCTCTCTTCCACCTCCTCCTCCCGTGACTCTCCCAACGTCATGTTTTCCTCAAGTTGAAAGATACGAGACTACTCAATCCCTATTGGCGTGTAAACATCAAGATGGAAACTTTGTATGTACGCATGTTATGAAAAGAAATCGTACATTGATAAGTTGGATAGATTGGGTGTCATTTTCCCAAGGGAGAAAACCATTAATTTGTTTTTTCTCTTGCTTCCTAAGTCACATGGTTAGTTTGTTAAAATCTTTCATATGAGGGATCTCGATGTGACCCTAATTGATTTGAACCAAATGTTGATTGTTGCTGAAGCGGAAATGGTTAAGAGCACGTCTAAAGAAAAAATGATTATTGGGTCTATTTCCAAGGTTTCCATGGACATTGAAAATGGTGACAATGGTGGTCCAGAAAATATTTCTCTTCCCAATGGAAAGGGGTCATCCAAGATCAAACTGTTTGATCATATGGTAAAGAGAAATGACTAGTTTTGGGATCGTTCCATAAGTTGATCCCAAAGAGTCCATTTGTTTTACT